CCCCCCCGCCCCCGGCGATTCAGGATTCACGAGACATTTTTCGTTCATCGTTGTTGTTGTTGTTGTTGTTGTTGTTGCTGTTTTTGTTTTTTTTGTGTTTTTTTTTGGGGGGGGTATTTTTTACTTAAGACCGTTTTGTTACAGTTAAAATCATTATTAAATGTGTACTTCACTGGGAAAAAATGATAAAAAGACACAAAATGGAATTTGCAGTTTTCAAGGACTCTCTAGCTTTGGAATTCTCCAAACTTTGGTGACTATTTTCTCGCTTATTTTACCTCTGAACGAATTCACGACCCTCACCTCCTTCAATCGCGAATAACTCGATTTCTATTCAAGATAGACATGTAATTTTTTCATCCAAAGTATGACAAATGAGCAAGCTTTAAGAAGAAACCAACAGCTCCACCTTCTAAAATTTGACGAGCCTGATCCCACAGTGTCGTGACACACGTCTTTCAGTGACATTCAACCCCTCCCCCAAATTATCGTTTTCATTCAGATGATAACAAATATACAAATGACAATTCGATAAAGCTAATTACATTCGAGACCAAAGTGGCCCTTATTGAGGCAGTTTGAAAGAGACAATAAAACATTGAACAAACTCTAAAATATGTCGAGGTTGTGGTCAGCCGCCCAGCACTTTGTATAATAATTATAATATATTCATTCTGCTGCTATCCCCTAGGTTAGGTTATCCAAAGTAGCGAGACTCCACAATATCGAGATATCATTGCGTTTTATCCGATAACTCCCGTCCGGAGAGGTAAAGTTGAATTCGATTTGAAGACTTTTTAAATATAATCTTAACTTTTGCAGAAGCCATTCTACACACTTTGAACAAGACAGAAATTTTAAAAAGAACCAGAAGGAGACAGCATAGAGCTTTATAAAAAGAGGAAACCAACGTGTCAGTTCACGAGTTTACGAGTAAATCCCTGAAAAAGTATAGAAAAAACTGCTTGACTTTTTTTCACAAAGGATGATTGATGTTCTTTGAAAAAATGAAAAAAAAACAATCGTAATGAAATAGCCTATATGCTGCCTTTCCTCTGTTAAGTTCAAAGTGCCCGTCATTGAGTTGAAAGCTAATAAAAAATAGACGGTCACTTTTGTAAGAAAAGTACCACTGACGTTTTTGCAGCGTTTGCTCCATCTATCCCTCTTTCCACCTCTGCAGTGACTCTCTTCTAATCCCATACCCCTGGACTGTGCCTAACATGCTGCTAGATGCATGGTTGCGTTCGAAAATTGAGCATTAACCCGTCGTGAGGTGTAAGGGTTGGGGGTTGCAGAATTATACAAGGAGAAACTTAAAGAAGTAAAGGCGTCGTGGATAATGAACAAATACCACACTTCTTTAAAAATGATTTTCATTTGTGTGTTTTGTGGGGTGTGTTTTTTTTACCATCGAAGTGGCTGCACTTCTTGGTGAAATAAAAATAGGCTTATACATTAACCACCCTTCACCTCCTTCTCTCTCTCTCTCT